ATTCTGCTGCTGACCACCGCCGCGCAACATTGGTACCAGCTGGGTAGTGTACTTTGATCGCATGACTAGAGCTCCGATCCTGGGCCCATAGAACTGGAGAGAAATGTGAAATGATTGGGGGCACAATGAGTGAATAGTTACAGTGACCTAGCACACAAGCCAAACCACTGAGAGGTAGAATACCTTGTGACCGGTGACGGAGACGGCGTCCACTTTGAGCGCCCCAATGTTCACATCAATCTTACCCACAGCTTGAGAGACATCGGAGTGAAGAAAAGCATTCGATCCTGTATGAAAAATTCCCCTGTACTTTGATTGGCTTCTACCAAAACCCTACTCTAAAATAGTACCATGTTTCTTGGAGGCCCGTCGCACAGCATCACTAATTTCAGCAATAGGCTGCAGCACTCCCGTTTCATTATTGGCCAGCATGACCGTAACTAGGCAAGTTGACGGTGAAACTAGTTTCTCGACCTCTGCTGGGTTAACTTGTCCAGTGGATGGATCCACAGGTAGAAGGCTCAGTTCTGAAACAGTTCAAATATCATTTAATAATTTTGACATTATGCATAAACCATTGCTTGCTATCCAGGATATGCAGGATTGCAACTCATGCACTGGGTACCGTAATACATTTGAGGACTAAGTCAAAGAGTTTTTGGAGGGGAGCTGTTGCTAAAAGGACTTATTTTGAGACCAGCATGGCCGGAACACGGAAAGTTGGGTAGAACTGCGGCGCCACCAACCGGCCGTATTTTCTCGAGGTGTGGCAATCTCCTCGAGAGCTAAAGATTACACCTACTTTCACCCGAACTTATTACTGATACTGCCCTGCTGCCTCAGAATTGCTCTCCACTGACTGCTATCAGCCAATAAGGCGCTTAATCGCGTCAACGCACACTAATTTGCCCTACCTGAAAGAGTCCGGCAAAGTATAATATACCGCATCTAGTCACCATATCGCCCCTAAGATTCAATTACTTCCACTCCATTCGTGACGTATGCTGCGAACCACGTCGCCTGATGCTGCTCGTTATCTTTCAAATCTTTTGCCTTGCAATACAACAGCACGCGCAATATTTCGGTGTCAATATGATGTCCTTCTTTTCGCCTTGATAAGGCGGGTTTCCAATTTCAATCTTAACACATTCACGCCGATGGCCGCCCATATGGGCTGCCAACAACATGCGCACCTGGGACGATGGCAG